GAGTAAGTCATCAACTACTACCACTACAGGAAAACCCTGCTAAAATGATCCTGGTTATTCACCGAGCGATAAACACAGCCAACAAACAAATCAAAATTCTATTGCTTAAATGATTAAAGCATTTTTTTTAAAATTCACTTATTTGTGTTAAATTGTATAAGCAAATATCGACAGGATATCTTACAGCACAAAGTAAGGGAAACACTCACATCGGGATTTCCCTTTGTCGCCTTAGTTAAATTTAAGACCGCCTTGGAACTGTTTTTTGTGAACACTTAAATTGACAAAGTTTGTTGACATAACACATAGAGTTTCATTTTACCCTTCTTTATTGACTCATCTACCAGAAGGAAAAGATAACTTATGCAGCGGCATGTTGTCCAAAGTCCACCAGTCCGTCCGTCCGTCCAACTCCACTCAAGTGTATATGTGGGTTTCATTCACGGATCATTCGGTATTGATATATATATTTCTGACTAGCGTTCATCTTTCACAAATCTTCCTTCCATAGGACACCGATAGTTACATAAGACACGGTTATCATGAGACATCTGTGCGCGTGTGTTTTAAGTGGAAATGCAATGATTTTTCAAAGTTTTTAACTGATAGTTGATTTGACAAAAGATTGAACCCCAAAAGTCCCCGAAATCTTCGGACGACCTCTTCCGCCAATGACCGAAAGACCCAAGATATTGCTATTCCGTCTCTATCATACTGGATTGAAGGGCTCACATGTTTATTCAAATGAAAGACCTTGACCCATTGTCAATGTGTTCAGACTTGAAACTTTTTCATTTCAACACCAAGAGGCCCCAGGTCATACTATCCTTTGTATTAACATCACTGAGAAGTGTTTGATTTAATTGATTTACATAAAACTGATGATTTTGTTATTTGGTTGCAGAACAGAAGGTGGAATTCAGGCCCATTAGGCCTCTTGTTAAACACCTAAATTGAACATTGATTATCTGATTATCGATCGGAACACCTCATGTGTCCATGCGAGGTGTTCCGATTAAACACCTGGCACACAGCCTTACCGATACAGACAGATAAGGCGACGATATAAACTTTGACTACATACACACGTATATCAGTGGGTACCTACCGACAGCCTTCTATACAAAGCATGTATACGTATTGCCTTAAGGTTCATTAACCTTTGTCAATTCCTATTGCAGACCATGATTGCGGGTCGAACGGGGGGAGGTCTAAACAGTAAGAGTGTGTGTAATCTTAAAAAAACAAAGTCCCCTATCAAAGACACTTCATCCGTTATAGGGGAGGAGGCATATCTCCCTCCGCGCTATAACGTCCGGTCTGTCCAATTACGTCCGGTCTGTCCCATTACGTCCGGCCTGTCCCAACCTGTTCTGAATCAATGTCGCATCTTGAGAACCTATCAAAAGAATTTACTTCCTATTTACTTCAGACTATTTTCTACATCGGTCAAGATAAAAGGGTCAATGGTCAAAGTCGCGTGGAGTCCCATCACGTCCCGTTCTAAATCAATGCAATGGTTGATATTTACGCCTTAATGTCATAACACAGTTCTCTATATATTCATATCAAGGTGGTCATCGGTCAAGGTTAAAGGGTCAAAGGTGACATCCGATAACATTTGCAAATGGTGATTTGTTACAACTAATATTTATATGACATACATGTAGGATCCGGGTTATAAAAGTCTTATAAACGGCCTTATCCTAAGCTATTTCCCGATTTCTGGAGGTGAATGACATCAGGTTATAACAAAGATAACTTGATGACAATTTGACAACACCATCACCACGTGTCTGTAACAAACTAAGAACAATAGAATGGAAATTTCTCTCTTAACTGAACGAAGTTCATAGTTCTCTGAAAAAGAAGAGTAGAATATTTTCTGAAACATAAATCTCTGTTATTAAAGTGAGATTCACTTGGTCAAATTTTAGACCAAGATAAGGAATTAAAAAAAATCTGAACTAATCATTAAAACAGTATATTATATTATATTATATTATATTATATTATATTATATTATATTATATTACATTATATTATATTATATTATATTATATTATATTAAACATTATATTATATTATATATATTATATTATATTATATTATATTATATTATATTATATTATATTACATTATATTATATTATATTATATTATATTACATTATATTATATTACATTACATTATATTATATTACATTACATTATATTATATTATATCATATCATATTATATTATATTACATTACATTACATTACATTATATTATATTATATTATATTATATTATAATATATTATATCATATCATATATACATATCATATCATATCATATCATATTATATTATATTATATTATATTATATTATATTATATTATATTATATTAAAATATTGTGTAATTCCAGAACACGACGTATATTCGTTAAAAATTATCTAAAAATACTTTAAGAATATGGTTGTTAAAAGGAGGTATGATTTTAAACGTGTTTAAAAAAAACATCAAAAGGTAAGAGAATATGCAATACATGTACAGAGAACAAAGATGGCGGCACGCCTTTCCTTTGTAAAGCAGTGCTTAGTACCAAGTAGTTCTTAGTTGAGCTATTTATATTGTTAATCAAACATCTCCCTCGTCGGTAGCCCTCTTGACATTTAAACCCGCCGTGTCTTTGTAGAGTCGATCAGAAGTTGATAATTATACTACAGACTGTAATTGGCACACTTTGATAACACCGTGTGCACGTATGAGGTATATAGATTTTTTTATTTAAAAATGTTTCGTGTGAATTTTGATTTACTGCTCGTAAACAACATTGAAGTAGACGGCCATTTTGGGTTTTGTCGACCTCGGCTTAACGGTATGTACAGCTATGTTATCATTGATTAAGGAATTATCGTTCGATATTTACTTATCGCCTGGTAAGTAAGACAGGTATTTGTGTATATCTCGTAGCTGTTATAAATATGTAATTATACAGGTAAAATACAGGTGTGACAATGTAAGGCACTTTAAGACGATTAGGCAACATATTTTACACCAAGGACGAACATTCACCGGTTAAAACATTTTGAATTTTAAGCAGTATATAAGTTATATACTTTTTGTCGGATGAATAATCTCGAATTTTGAAATTTTGTCAGAATCAAAATATTGTAATTAATTAGAAATACGTCATGTACATGTACACATGCACACCTGTATGTATAAATGAATGGTCAATGCCGTATTGTGCAGTATAAACGTAAGTAATAATTGAAAAAAGAAATTGATTTAATCAAGGAACATGTAGATCACGAATTACGTATTATGTTTCCAGTCAAATATATGTTCAGTGTTCATGCTGTATACTTCGTTGGCCTTAGATATCTTTACGCATTTGATATGAACTGTCCTTGCTACCCATATTTTCCCACACACTGCATTAAAAATTCATCATTTACCGGTGAGTCTAAATATTCAAGCATTGTTCCTTTCTCGGCAAGGACTGAACAATTTTAAAATGTGCATAGTGTGTATTGTTTTCCCGCCAAAAACTAAATAATAATTATAGAGAAAAACAATGTACTTTGTTTTTTTTGTTTCGCTTCGCATGATTTAGTGTCTTGATACAGTGAATACGTGTTAAATATAAACAAGGTTTACATCTTTAATAAAACACTGCAAATATCGAACATTCAAAACAACAACAATTTCTGTGAGTCAAATCCAAAGTAGTACGTTACCTGTAGGTTGATCCGACAGTATTAGGCTGACAGACAAATACATGGGGCTCAGAAACATTCCGATCATTTCTCTTCATATGACCTCTATACACACATCCTGTTTCAATTCAGTTCGTTTTGGATTCAAACATAACGCGTTTTCTAAATAAACGGATTCGTGAAGATCGTAAACTCAAGCTTTAGCGTTATAGATCATTTGATAAACTAAATCCTCGCTTCGTTTGTCTATTCTTTCCTGAAAGATCGTTACATAAACAGGGTCATATATTTAAGATTGGTACGCCCCATAAAATCTGCTCTCGTATTTCATTCTATGTACGCTTGTAATTTATCACTTGCCCTATTTGTTACAATTAAATTTCCTCATGGTCAATGGGCTCCTATGTTTCATCGATTTAAGCCCCAAGGATCATTCCTAGAAGGACGAAACAGCTGTATGATGCAGCATCACTGACAAGTCCTAGAAGGACGAAACAGCTGTATGATGTAATATCAATGACGAGTCCTTGAAGGACGAAACATCTGTATGATGTAGTATCACTAAAGAGTCCTAGAAGGACGAAACAACTCTATGATGCAGCATCACTGACGAGTCCTAGAAGGACGAAACAGTTGTATGATGTAGTATCACTGACGAGTCCTAGAAGGACGAAATAGCTGTTTGATGTAGTATCACTAACGAGTCCTAGAAGGACGAAACAACTCTATGATGCAGCATCACTGACGAGTCCTAGAAGGACGAAACAGATGTATGATGCAGCATCACTGACAAGTCCTAGAAGGACGAAACAGATGTATGATGTAGCATCAGTGATGAGTCCGAGAAGGACGAAACAACTGTATGATGCAGCATCACTGACGAGTCCTAGAAGGACGAAACAGGTATACGATGTAGCATCACTGACGGGACCTAGAAGGACGAAACAGCTGTATGATGCAGCATCACTGACAAGTCCTAGAAGGACGAAACAGCTGTATGATTTTATATTGAACGATACAGTAACCATTTTTGTCTTTTATACCCTTTTCAGTGGTTGCATAATGGAAATATTTCCTTCTTTCAGGTACCAATCTTCAGGAAAAAATTGATTTCTTAATATCACGAAAATGATGATGCAGTTCGAAACACCATTTCATTTGTGAATTACTGCTCCTAAATGTGTTTCACGAAGATATCTCTTCTAACTTGGCGTTATTCAAAAGGATGAATCCGTCTCCTATCTCATGATAGTACAGTCTTATCACTATCAGATTACATGACAAATCGTACCAAAATGTCTTTTCTGGATAATATTAAAATCGTTGGCGCAAAAATGGACGAGTTTGAGCAGGCGAAGAAGGAGCACGATGCACTGCTTCAGCGCCAGAAAGAGGAAAAAGAGGAAAAAATGGCTGCCGCTGCTGCAAAGAGGAAGCTGACAGCTAAAAAGATGACGAATTCAGTGATTGTTAAGGAGGACAGGAGGGCACGTTGGGAGTCTGCGAAGACGAGTAGAGATAGTACTTCCGTTCGAAACAGGCAGATATCCTCCCGACAGACAGCTATGACATCGCAACAGAATTTTTCAGTCACAGTCACAAGTAAGAATACAGCTTATATGACCAACAAAGGGACTGGGATGTATCACGTGACACCAGAATCATCTACACAAAGCAAGAAATCCGTGCGACCGACAAGTTTACAGGGTCTTCCGAGGCGCGACGACGGCGAGGATTTCTCTAAGGGGACGAAACGACTTGGAAAATCATCAGTTGGTAAGAAGGATAATTTGTCATCGACAGGCGATGACAAGCAGATTAACGGAGCTGTGACTGGCGATGAGAATAGTGCCAGATCGAAAAATAAACCTGATTACAAAACGTTCCTTGTGTCGACAGGTAAAGCCGTTTTCCAACAAAAGCAGGAAGAGATTGAGACCGGAAGTGATGTAAATGATGATTTGAGCGCGAGTGACAAAAATGCACAAAAGGAAAAAACTGGTAAAAGCGATGTCGTATTTGTTCCCGACGGTAAACAAGATGGAGATACAGGTGATGGAGAGGCAGAATCAAAAGATAACGATCAAAATGGTGTTGCAACCGGAAGTGACCTTGATAATGGAAATGCTGATGAAATGAGTGGTAACACTGATGACAAAAAAAGCAGAACCGATCCAAGTGAAAATAATTCTCTGGACAAAAAGGATTCAGAAGGCAAAGAAATATCGGGACACTCAACAAAAGACGGCGAAAAATCAGGTGCAGAAGGGTCAACGACTAAAGAATCTGGTACACTTATGCCAGGAAATATTGAGGGTGATCGCCCCCTTAGCCATCCGGAAGAGGTAACCAAATACTTGCGCAGTGTTTACAAGTTAGTCGACACCCCGAAACAGTTACACAGCTTTACTGTTTGTCAGGATTTTATCGATACAGTGTCTTGTGTATCTGGAGAAAACGCTTGGATGTTCTGTGACGGTAACAAACTTATTCTCGTCAATAAAGATGGCGACAAACAGAGGTCGATTCAACTAAGAGGTAAGATAGGGGACTTCTGTACTCTTGCATCAGGAGAAGTTCTGTTAACCCACATGGACGATTGTTGTGTATACAGTATCCAGGCCAACGGGGTCATGACTTTGCAATTTAAAACTGAACCACTGCATCCGGTTGCAATTCAACCCACCCATGACGATAATCTTTTGATTACATTGGCGGATGTATGGGATTACAAAATTGAACCACAAAGCCAAAGACAACTACGCATGTACAGTCGTGACGGCACGGTATTGAAAACGCTTGAATTTGGGCCTGATGAAAAACGTTTGTTTTGTAAGCCAGGGCGCGTTCGAATTTGTAAAAACAATTTTAATGTAGCTGTGTGCAACTTTGTCAATGACAAACCCGGAAATGATTACATAGTTTTCCTAGACAAAAATTTGAATGTTTTATTTCGATCTAACGAACGCTACTCCGTGCCAAGTGAACTGAAACCTCAAAGTCACGTGATATTTGACGATATGGTCTTTGATTCCGGAGATAACATAGTTACGGTGGAGACTGTCTCAAATAGTGTTCAACTATTGGATAAAAATTGTCGATATGTGAAAACTCTATATAAAGACCCAACAGATAACGAACAGCCGATGTCCATTGCCTTGGATACGGAGGGAAATCTCTGGATTGGCTTTCAAAGAGGTCACGTGAAAATTATTAAATATAGAACACAAGTTTTGAAAGTTCAGGAGGGAAAAGAATAAGTTAATGCCATCAAATTTTCAGTTAAAGAAAGGGAAATGTGCAAATTTCCTAATTGTTTAGAAAATGTAAACAAATTAATTAAAGGAACCCCGTCATTCAAAATAACGGTATAGTCATGAGATGGAAAATTCAAAACTGTACCAAACCTCTAGCTGTACTCTGTGATGTATTGTACCAAACCTCTAGCTGTACTGTGTGTGATGTATTGTACCAAACCCGTAGCTGTACTGTGTGTAATGTATTGTACCAAACCTGTAGCTGTACTGTGTGTGATGTATTGTACCAAACCTGTAGCTGTACTGTGTGTAATGTATTGCGCCATAATAAGGGCCTGTCGCTAAGTTATGGAGAATTGCTTAAAGAATTATTTCATTGAAGTGAAATTATTTTCGTGAATATATAAATCAGGAAAACGGGAATGAAATCATAATCATGAGTTCTAGGCTTAAATCCTCTGAAACAGAAAACATTGCGTAATGTCACGTGATCGTTTTTTTTACACCATTCGGAAAACTTCGGACCTTTTCCACGTTTTCTAGATTCTGATAGTTTTGGCCGTGAAAAATGAATAGTTTCGCTGTGGTGGAAATTTTAATCAGTATAACAACATATCAGGCTATATGTTCGTGTTGGTTTTTTAAAACACGTGTTTATTGACATTTCTTTATATGTATTGAATCATATTTAGTTCATAATAGTATACGCAAATTACGCTTCATGTTCTTATATTATACAACTATACAAACGTAAACAACGATACATAAGTGTTGTATGTAATTTCGTATATTTTTGTGAAAAAAGATGCTTTCCTGTTATGAAAGAATGAATAAATATTGATAGAGCCAGAGAGGTTTTGCATTGTTTTTGTTTTTGTGTTTTAGATATCCGCTAAGACAATGTCTCGCGGTAATCTATTGCGATCGCCTTTTTTCAAGCGTCGCGTGTCAGGCATCGTCAACTATTGACATTTTCGATTTCTTCTGGAAAAAACCTGAATCAATTCGATGAAATTTTGAATGAAAGTTCCATTGCCAAAGGTGAACAAAATTATGAAATCATGTGAGCACCACCCTCAGAGGTCTGAGGGCCGAGGCCGAGACTCAGATTTCAAAAGTCTTCTTCTCAGCACCCAGATATAATAGAATCAAATACTCTTCATAGCTGGAAGATTCTTAAGGTGCTTTACCAAAATTGGGAATTCCATGACTCAGAATTTCACATTATCCCCTGGGGACGACGTATAATTTAGTTTCCTTTGAAAACATTTAAAACACGGTTTGAGATATCAGTATCAATTGACCCTGGCTGACTCCAGCGGCTGGTGGACGGATCAAAAGGAGCCAAATACACTCAAATTAACTTAGATTTTAAAAAATCATTTAAACATCAAGATTTTCAAAAATCCTCGAGCACCCAGACATGGTTGAATTGGTAGAATCAAATACTCTTTGTAGATAAATTGTAGAAAATTGTGAATTTCCAAGTTTCTCACAATTTTCCTTGGGGAGATAAAGATTAAGTGATTAAGTAAGTATTCAGTAAGGAATGAATGAACATATGAATTTACGCTAAATTTATTTTGAAAACTACTTTACGGAGGTGTTCGGCTCCAAAAACATATAATTATTTTTGACAAAACAACCTGTCGACGCATATTCGTATGAGTTTTGAAGGGTTTAAAACTCCGTAAACAGCCATAGGTCCTTTTGAGGCGGGTTTCCTTGTAGTAGCTTGCGGTTGCTTCACCGAACAACATACAGAAGGCCCGGCGCATGCCGTCCACAGCATTAAGGGTTGAGTGTCTTGCCTAAAGACACAGCCACATCAGCGCAAACAGGTGCGCCGTTGTTATGGTTAGAGAATGCCAAACCATGCATCTCTGATCCTAATCCTAGACTGTATAAATCAACTCTCTACCGCCTTGGATATCGCGGTCCCGTTTTGATGCAGATTCCAACAATCGTGTCGAACATGCTTGAATCGAATACATCGGATAAGTCGAACGTTTTGTTCGGTCCTGAGTTTTTTCTCTTCTTTATCTTAGTAAGTTATACATTATACATAAGCATACATTGTCTGTCTATGGAACTATATAATATGGCGCTTTAACTTTTTTTCTGATATAAAATTTTGATGTTTTGTTTCCGATATGATTTCGCTGTGTTCATTTTTTCCGGAACCCCTCTAGACGTATCCCTATATCGTCGTTCTAAGTATGCTATAACCTAATAGTTTTAGTTTAAACATATTTTATTGCCAAAATAAATTTGAACAAGGGAATTGGGCACAAGTTATTACAACTTATTGGAGCCCTTTCCCAATTAACATTTTCAAAGACATTCTTATAAAGATATAGGCTTAAACATAAATTATACATATTAAACATTCACACACAGACATAAATACATCATCGTATTAGAATCTTTTAAAACCTTTTGCTGGATTTAATGAAATTTTGCACATGTTTAAAGACAAAGTAGTTTAGGTCCTCAGAAAGATCAAACCTGATAGTGGTAAAACAGGTTAAAGAGTCCCACAGTCGAAATGTTTGTGTTCATGTAGAACAGAAACAAAGCTTTGAAAATGTAAGGAATCGACATAAGGAGTTCAGCAGGTAAACCAGTTTATTACAGTATAACCTTTACATCGTTTATAACAAGCAATATGGAAATCAGATAATGAAAAACACCAGAAAATGATGTCGGCGTTCGCGACTTTTCTGAATAAATAAACTCCCTGAAAACGAAAACAAATGCACGCAAGGACAAATGAGAAAATAACAGCTTGATATTAACTGAGCTAAGATTTGTATTAGTAAGGAAAAAATTAAATCATTGACAAAAATGTTACATTGCAATTGAAATGGTCAGATTAGAAAATTCATATTTGGTTTTCTTCACAAAGGCACATTTAAAGTATTGGTTAATTTGTAGTGGTACCAAGGGAGGTAATCCTGACAATCTTACCCAAACTATCAGGACTTCATTTAATAATTAAGTCTACAGATAATGTACCTGTTGAGCACCATGTAGTTATTTGATTTAAACGTGTTTTAATTGTCAGATTTCCATCTCAGTATGTCGAGTTTTAAAAGTTGTATTAGAGACGTATATACGTCTCTAATTATACACACAGCCTAGTGGGAAACCACACAATCGCTAAGAACGACTTACAAACACGTGCACACTACATACATGCATTTCCGCGGATACCAAACAATCCGTTCAAAGATTGATAAGGTGATGAGACTTTGGTTATATATAGCACAATTGACGTGTGGGGAAACCCCTTTTACTATAAATAGTAACTTTTGTTACCATTATCGACCTCGGTAACCAGGTATTTATTAAACTGTAGTTTACATGGAATTATTTTACTACGTGATGTTGTAATAGCATCAGAAGGAGGAAAAGTTCGTGACTGTTTCACGTCATCTCCATCCTGTCCAGAGTCAGGATATAATTTGTCATTGGCAAGAGTAGTCGATAAACTGTCACAGGAATAGTCCAATGAAGGACTCGGTATAGAATTGTAGTCTAACTTCCGTCTGGGAATTTTGCACGGAACATAACTGCTTACATATGAATAAGTATCCGAATTGTCCTCGAGATCATAGCTCCTAGCCACGGAACCCACGACATCTTGACGAGATTTCATTGAGTCGTAATACCATGTGTTATTTGTTGTCATTTTCTGAAGTTCGTTTGATATTGAAGCCCGTAAACTTGTACTTAACATGTGCGCATGCGTGAGATCGGCGTCTATTTCATCACGAAGACAGTCCAGTTCTTGCGTTGGAAAACTTTGTAATTGTTTTTGTCTGTTCCACGTGTTACATTCTCGGTCTCGTTTAAGCGGGCGCTTCCTTGTCACCCGATGATTGGTAAAATCCGAGTTCGCTCTTTTTTGGTGTTGAAGAGGCTGATCCGGGGTTGCAAGTATCGTTTCCGACCGTTCCATACGTGCGGGGTTATTCACCTTTACTACTGTAGCGGGTGTTTTCGCTATCTGTCCATCAGGTGACTGCCGGACATCGTCATCCGGGAAACTTGATGACGACATATCCAAACCGCTGTCGACCTTGACCTCTCGTTCCGATGTCATTCGAGTCAGCTTGACCTTGGCGTTGCGAAGGTGTCCTTCTAGTATTTGAATCATGGAATTTTTCTGGAGAAATACATAAGAAAAAGAACAAATGTCTTAGGAACAACAGACATAAACGAAATCTTGATATATATACTCCATCGTAAGATTTATCTGAAATTTTATAGCTTTCTTTGATATAGAATTGCGTATCGTCAATAACAGTTATAATTCACATCCTCGTAGTGAGATTTTTACCACATCTGCGCATGCGCTCTTACCTGTGTCAGACATTTCTTTAATGTGTCGTTCGCTGCAACTAATTGGACTAGTTCCTCCTCGAAGTCATTTCCGGTTGATGTTGCCAGGTGCGGATTTATCTCGTGCGTTGACAATGACATGCGCATCTGTTGTTCGAGTGAAGTTTTCCAATAAAACCGGACCTATAAATATAAATGATTTATCAATAAACCAAACAAGGTCATTAACACATAACTAATATACTAAAATTAGAGCCGCGTTACTAATTTTAAAGATAAACAAAATAAGACAAAATTATTTTAAAAAAATTAACAAATATTTCTTAAAATCTAAAATGATCATCGGAATAACCACCTTTAGAATGTTGCGAGTACCATAGATAATTCTTAACAAACAACCAAACAATCACACGTTACGTCACTGACGGCAACTCACCTTGGGCAGGAAAACTGCACTTTGGACCAATGATGCTACTATTGTTGTAAGCAAAATATTGATGATGTAGACAGCATCTGGTATGTGACGTAAGCTTGACGTCAACATCAAAGTGTGTGACGTCAGGAACATGGTTACTAAGACGCTGATGACGATACAGGCCGAGTCTCTCATTGCAGGTAACATGATGTGTTTCGTTTTCCACGCTAGAAACAACCCTACTGCCATAACTGTAGTCTTCCAGACAAGCATCAGAGAGACCCAGACTTCCGTTTTGCCAGAGTTACACTCTTGCACGTATACGTATGTGTAAAACGCAGAGAGATTCCTTCGCATGTCACCGGAAGACTGAAATAAAGAGACGAATTTATTTACAATGATGTGTATTGGATACAATCACACAAACTTTGTGTATAGTAAAAATAATTAAATTATGTGAATTATTTCCAACAACATATATCTAAAAACGTTTCCGGTGTCTTTATTATTATTTTATCAACTTATCCACTTATAAATGGCATCCATGAAGTTTAAATAAGAATATTGATAAATAGATTGATTTATTCATCAATCAATTAAATAATTAATTTATATATTTGAAATTCGACACTTTTTACAAAGTTAAATATTACAATTTAAAGTGATAAGATTGGTGACGTCGTCTTGTTACCTGAATTGCGATTGTGACCGGATGTGAGATGGGCGGGTCCACTCCTTGCCACAGGGAGAGCAGGACAGCGTCAATGATAAGCATACTCATGATCGCCAAAAGCAGTTTACGGTCACGTATCACCTACAAAATCAGCCAAAACGTTTGAACAACACACAAAAACATTCAAAATCGTTTGAATTTTATGGTGTTTGTGAAAGCAAGTTATGATAGTTTGTCAAAAACTCGCACATTGGCAGGGCAGTTGAAGAGAGAGAGAGAGAGAGAGAGAGAGAGAGAGAGAGAGAGAGAGAGAGAGAGAGAGAGAGAGAGAGAGAGAGAGAGAGAAACAGAGAGAGAGAGGGGGGAGGGAGGGAGGAAGACAGAGGGGCAAAAGTAAATTTCGTCACCACATAGGTTTCATATTACATGAAACCGAATGTTAGACTCTGTTTACCACATATCTTAACTGGAGGCCGTCTAACCCTGTAACTCTTTGAAGTGACGTCACGATGCATATGACGTCATGAAAATATATCAACATATGAAAAAATCATAACAACCTTTTGCCTGTCACAACTTCGCTAAATCATATCACGTTATTTGATTATTATGTAATATTGAAAATATTTGCTTGGTGAATTTGATGTAACTGGGATGACTTACCACACGCTTGACACCCGCATTCTTGAAGATCTGATAGACTCTCCAGGATTTCACAAACATTGGGCTGAATAACATGGTGATACCAAACGTCACTAACCAAAGTCTCATCTGCAGTGAGGAAGGAATTAAGGAAATATAATTATATATCAATGTATATTGATTGATTGATTGATTGATTGATAATGAATGAATGAAGGCATGAATGAATGAAGGCATGAATGAATGAATGAATGAATGAATGGGGATAAAAAGAGAGCATATCTAATTAAAATCGACAAAAGCTAGTACCTGACAAATCACAGTAGTCTTTGAGTACAGGTGATGGAAGAAGTACTCGATGCCGTATAACATGCACGTGCAGTTAAGTATCAATCCGCCAGCACTGATTAGGACGTTCATCTTCGGACTGGACATCTTCATAAACCTAGGGAAAAATTGATAATTTACTGTTAAATTATCTTTATCATTTAATTTCTATTTATTCTCGTTATCACCATACAACATGTAAGTGCTGTAACCACTGGAACACATGTTTCGTTTACAGTTCTATTGTTGCTTTACGTCCTCTTAACAGCCAGGGTTACTTAAGGACGTGTCAGGCTTGGTCTGTGGAGGAAAGTCGGAGTGCTTGGGGAAAAAAACAAACAAACGAACAAAAAAAAAAAAAAAAAAAGATACACACACACAGAGACCTGCTGCCGGTACCTGGCGACTGCCTCACGTAGGTCTCGAACCCGTGACCCAGAGGTGGTGGGATAGTGGTCATCAGTATCCGTAGAATACTTATTGATGAAATGTGGTGTTATTTTACTGAAATCAAGGCTCACCTCTTCTTCCGATGATAAACGTTGAAAGTGAGGAAGACTGTTGAAAAGATAAATCCTATGGTGGCCGCGAAACAGGACACGACAAATGTACCGAAAGTCAGGGTTCGAACATCTTCCGGTTTAAGCGCCATCTGTTAAAATAGAAAAAAGAACGTGCTATTTAAAACGAGTAGTTTCTAACCCCAACTCATTCACACCACAGATTTGAATAGTATATATACAGTACGGTGGCTGATTAGTGCCATTTCATTTTTTTTTAAATCTAACTTATCGTTCTTTCGTCTTCTCGTCCTGAAAATACGAGAATGAAAATACCTTAATTCTCGTCTTTTCGATTGGAAAAGACGACAAATCATGCGCTAAAAGACGAAATCAATGCACGCTAATTAGCGACCTTAATTTAACCTTTACCTTAATTTCGCGTATTTACCCCGAAAAGACAAGAATTAAGGTTTGTTAATTTTCGTAATATACACATAAGCGTCTAGAATCTAATCCCCCTTTCTTATATAATCTCTGAAAACCGTTGTCATGACAATTTTTCAAACCAAATACCCATAATACGAGTGTTGCTAACAGTCAGTTATAAGAACGACATACTTCATAACAAGCCCTTAACATAGTACATAGTATGAGAAACCTTAGAAATCATTATCATTACAAATAGTCAATATAAACGATGTCTGTAACAACAAATTCTAAATATAACCCCATTTTGATCAACCTACAAAGTTCCTCTGAAGTACAGTCTTAATATAATGACGCTCGGCAATAACTTTCATTTTAATTCACTCCGCAAATATTCACGAGATTGAACACAGAAAATGAATTTATTACAATGAATCAAACTAATTCTTCCTCGTAATAAAATCTTTAGATCAACCTTGTCACATGGAGCCCCGAAATGACCTCTCATACCAGTCAATTATCTAGAATTCTATCGTATATAAAAACATGGATAGGATCACATTACAATCTGGAGTGGAAATCAGTTTTTTATGTAAAGTATTCAGTATCCCATCAGGAAGTATAAACTGTGGTATGTATTTTTCAGACAATAGTCATTGTTAAGAACGTTTTCTTCTGTGTGAAAATGAAAAAGCAAACTTAAAGTCAGCAAAGATGGCTATTTGAACAAGACCTAAGTTCGCATTTAAACACTCTGTGTACAGATTGTCCATCCGTTACCAAATTGATTACTGTCCTTTTCGGTTTTAATTAGTTAAACTGCAGTGGCACTCGAAATGCCGCGTCTTATTGTTATTATAATAATGATAAAAAAATCACTTAAATTGATAATTGTCTTACCTTTCAGAGTTTCGTGGAATAGTGAGTGTTTAATAAAAAAATATTTAATCCAATCAATATTATGTCTTCAAACCATATTTGATATTTAAAATAATGTAAATTCACCACTTGTAATTTGGTTCACTTGAAACTTCACTCAAATGCGTGTAAATCCACAATGATTTTTACGTCACTTCCGTGATACCGATCTCAGTGTTGATTTCATGATTTCACTCACAAACTCTATCGATGAGTATATAGATCTAAACACAAATGATTGTGAAATATATCCAGTTCCTCTTCAAATCTGACTCCTCACGCACCGTCAAATAACTGTAATTAATATTTCATAAGACTTTTGCATTTCTTTCAAATAATGTAATTTGTCATCTGCAGGTAATCGAAATTATTGCCTGAAAACCTCCATTCGATAGAAATATATCGCTGATATGTGACACTGTATCACAGCACAGATATATATATATAAGTGATATGAGTAATTACTGGGAGCACTATTTGAGGAGCAACACGAGTAGAAAGTGGACACCACATATACACTAGGATCGTATATAATTACCCAGCTGGCGAGAAATTACCCAGGAGCCATACACAGGCGGACATTGTATCAATAAAATCATTAACGCTTGAGGGGTTTACATCGCGTCCAAACAAGCATGGCATTGTAAAGGTGTCTAAACGATTCAAAAGACTCAATTGGCTTTTTTTCTAAGGTGGCATTTTGATGGCCTAACAGGAAAATATTGTTTTCAATTTGATGATTTTTTTAATCTTTCTGATCAAATCCGTGTGATGTGGTTGTAAAAGCACCCCTACAGAAATAATTATATAGTATAAATGGTTTATATTTCTTTTTGTCACGATAAGTAATAATACAAACATCGACAATGGGCGATATTAAGAGCGGAATTTGCCTTTTGAAATAAAACGTTAATTCTTCCTAAATTCTGGTCAATATTAATCTACCGCGAAGACATACTAACCGTCCGTCGTTAGAGACATGAGAAGACACAAAATTTAAACTTTAATTTGTATAGCTCGTTGGTTGTTACTCAATTAAAAGAAAATCTACACATTTAAATTGTCACGTTTTTTCTTATTTCTTACTTCGGAAGAACTTTATCATATGTGAATCACTTCTCACTTTAAATTTCGTAATTTGACGAAGTAAAATCACGAAATGTTAACCAAATTTCTAACAATAAAAATGAATCGATAATTAAATCAATTAGTTAATTAATTCATAAGTTTATATATGCTCAAAACGATCTTGTTAAACTATCTTTAAATTAACCAATTAATTAAGACTTTGTGTAAAAGATATACTTAAGTTTAAAAAATCTTGTTTAACTATTTTTAAATATTTGTTTGAACTTCACAAAAGGATTATCATATGTGATTGCGCAATATCACTGTTTCAAGAAGCTTTGAAGGTTTAATGATATCGTTCCGCTTATTGAAAGAACTTGATAACCATTTACGAAAATGCAATATCATGATAGTGAAAAAATTGAAAATAAAATTAATTCCGGTAAAGATTGCTTGAGTTTAGACTCAAACCGCATTAGCTTGTAATATACATGAATGAAATTTAAACTTATGCTATTTCCGTTCTCATTAAAACCAAAAACCGCGATACTAATACCGAGCACTTCAAGTTAATATAAGGTTACTTACACAAAATAATCGTCTTTCACTTTATTTCATTTTGATTGGAATTTAAAAGTGTAATTTCACATTTCAAGCTAATAAACCTTTACATAATTTTATCATAGATGTTCCTGCGTATTTCATGAATGTTGTTAAACTTTCCCAAGGTATCATTTCAATTTGAAATTTGATAAATGTGCAATGACAGTCTCGGTATTATTTTCAACAAAGGTATATGAATTTTAAAACCAATTTATTTTCGATAAATAGTGTATTTAAAATATTTTGCTATATATTCTTTATTTATTGCATTCTAAAAGAAAATTAAAAGTCTACAGTTACAGAACTTCGGCAGTTTTCTGTGATAATTACTGAAATTCGGATATGATTTAAATCTTTTCCAATCAGTATATTGTCAATGAACATCGATATCTGCAAATTATCCCAACTCATTTAAAGTCCGGAAATTGATCATAATTGGACCAATAGGTAATGTAATTATCACAGTGCATTTTAAACTATCAAATTGGTCGTAATTTGGCAAATAGTTCCTGTTATGTCAATCATATTTGACCCCGGGCGTTTCGTATGTTTATAATGACGGATTCGTAAACTTGTCACAACCCTGAAAGGTGAGCAAACTGATATGATATTTCTTGGCCCAATTATCGTCGTGAAATTCGCTGACATCATTTTCCTTGAGGATAACTAGATGTTATCGTCTTCATCGAAACAATGCGTCATTTGACATGATAGTGTCATGTTCGATATCTGTATAGACCTGACATTTTTACATGTCGTTTGCTCTGCTAGATACAGGAACTTGTAATAAACATGTCATACTACCAATATTGACTCTCGTCATATCGATTTGTGGTAGAGTGATAGGTACGAAAAATGACCAGACACGCGAAGACCATTCAATGATATCTATTAGAAATAGGAACTATATATATAAAGTAATTTTGACGGACTTATCAAAGTTCACATATTGTACTATCCATTCGTTTTCCTCCCTGTCCTTAACCGGTCCTAGCTTAGAGCTAAAATTAGGCCAAGGAGGTCATCTTAAAAATTTTAGTATAAGAACAGGTTTTGTAGCGTAGACGATACCACTCTACCACATTTCTAAATTCCACTCTCTCTTATCTTTTCGCGCCCGCCGTAATAGTGAACGTAATACCCGTTAAATAGATAGAAAGATAAACTCCTAAATTCATTATTCAAATTTTGGATTTTTAATGTCAACGAATTATAATTTTAATCTTCTATTGTTATTTAACGAGCAGTTCTCAGACATATTTCATAAATATTTTGTTTTATAATCAAATTGTGGCTGTATAATCATTAGCAGTATCGACCTTTAATAATTATTGAAGTTTTGAATTGTTCATTAAGATATGGCGTCTAATACATTTAAAACATTTATCAAACTACAAGTTTTTATCTAGAATTAACAAAATTAATCCCATATGTTGGTCTTGATAGAGGGACAGGATATTTTAAGAAAGGAAACCACTGAACAACATACGGAAGTTCCGTAGCATGCCACATCCAGAGCAATTAGGCTTCAATGAAGAACGCAAACCGCCACGGGTAGGGAGCGTCGGACTACGCATCTCGAACTTTCACCCGAGGTAACGAAAGCCAGCCGGTGGTTAAACAGTGGTTAGTGAAAAATTGATGAGGGATGAAGTTAGAGGGAATACTCGGAAAAGGAGATTGGTCTCCGGGAACAGAGCCTGGAATATGGACGGAGGGGACAGGAATAACTAGGAATGAAAGAATTTTGACGGGAAAGGCTGCGAAGCGATATTTTTCATGCAGAAGGATCTGCTTTGTGAGTCGATCCATTTGTGAACAGTCCTAATCGTTTTGAGTCTCCTTGTACTGGCTGGTAGAAACCTCATCGAACACTATGCGGGAGACCCATCACATGCTATCCGTAGCAATTGGCTTGCCCAAAGGCGATCCGTAACCTCTGCAGCAAACAGACACGGGTAGGAATCGAACCCCACTCCTCGGATCTTCCTATGTGGCCGAATTCTTCCGATGCACTATACCGACTACGCTATCAGAGCCCCCAGGTGAATACGACATGGGAGTGGAGATTGGGAAGTATAGTGATTATATGACCTGTAATACAGGGAATTAGTTTTGTATATAAACATATTCCGGAATAATAAATTTCACTCGCAGCACGTTTCGTACAAGTTGAGCTCCGATGTATTATGCAAATTTCATTTTAGTGTAGCTAAATAACCTGCCCATGTAAATTGTAAAGCTTTCGATGTATGTCCAGTGGTACAAAATATTTAAACATAAACAACTTTATCAATAATAATTTTCATACCTACAGCATAAGTCACCAATTGATTCCAAATTGTTTTGTTTCGAATGTAAGATAATCGATTGTCCACACTTCATTATCTGTTTTAAAGTTCAAATGACAATTAAAATATTTAAACGTGCTTGATTTAGCTTTTAACTTCTTCAAAGGGCTATTTATTTTTTTGTTTAGCCCTCAGACAATGGTATTTGGTCGTTGTGTATCAACACTTGTGCGTAAGACAATGGCTTAAGTCTGATATCTTTGAATTTGATCGGTCGTTGTTTTAACGGTGTGCTATCCTGTTAACACTCTGTAGAAAATCACCAACCGAGTCCGTCACTGAATACATATACCGAGTCTGTTGTTAGTATGTACCGTTGTAAGGACAGATGTAGCGAATTGTGGAGTTCATTCTAATGAATATGGCAAATGAGACTATGATAAAAACATTGCACACAGGACCCTCGACCACCGCGCTAGTTTTCAAACTGAAGTCCAACATTATCTATCAGTAAAAACCTTTTCAAATGAAAATGAATTCTGGAGGAAATTAAACACTTAATAAAACAAAATTAAAACAGGAGTGCACTTCACTGCCGTTGTCATCATCGCCGCCATTGCAGGCGCCGCCACCTCGCCATCATCGTCGTCGCCATCCCCCCCTCCTCCTCCTCCTCCTCTTTCTTTGAAACGAGTGGAGCTAGTAATTAAGAAAGCGATAAGGATTGTCGCCCCTTGTCATACATAGATACCGCAGCTTGAACAACTAAGAATTGACTTTGTTTGGCCTTTCAGACCCCCCTACATTCCTACATATACTAACGTTTTACACATGCGCATTATCAGGGATTCACCGCACACTTTGTTTTCCGAAAATATTTCGTGAATAATTTTGGATTTGTATGAAGAAATGTTATTCCTAACTGGAGGAGTTGACATGAATGATTTCCCATAATCTGATATTTTCACAAGATGTGACATAATAAGCTGATAACAATTGTATCCGGATGTAATGGCGTGGAGGATTTGTAATATTCTTGGCGTCATTCTCATCGTCTTGTGTTTCTTCTTAGAAAGATATGCAGGTAATTTTGTAAGACTATATGTTATTAATTTCAAATCTAAAAACTGAAACATTTTTTACTTGGGTTTTCAAAATACATCTTAATTTAAAAACATCCTTAATATTCAAATGTTGGTTATTTATTTGTTTGCAGTCGTGAAAAGCGATGTTTTTTCACGTACATTGTAATATCAACCTAACAGATGAGAAAAGAATGACAAATGATACGTAATGTTTCTATTCATATGAAGCCGATTTGTAAATTCTGTTTCAAAATTCTGATTCTACATACTAGTTGAACATCTACGCAAATCGAAGATGGAGGTACCTGTTATTCTAATTGTGGTGTTTGAAACAAAATCGAATATCTAGAAATGCCATTTTAATTTTCATATCCTATGAGAAGACACAATCACGTCATACAAGGTCACACGGTAGTCTTGACGGTCCATCAACCCAAACTTCACACAGGGTCACAGGGTAGTCTTAACGGTCCATCGACCCAAAACTCATACAGGGTCACACGGTAGTCTTAACGGTCATCAACCCAAAACTCATACAGGTCACACGGTAGTCTTAACGGTCCATCAACCCAATGACGTCATACAGGGTCACACGGTAGTCTTAACGGTCCATCAATACAAAACTCATACAGGGTCACACGGTAGTCTTAACGATCCATCAACCCAATGACGTCATACAGAGTCACACGGTAGTCATAACGGTCATCAACACAATAACATCATACAGGGTCACAAGGTAGTCTGAACGGTCCATCAACACAATAACGTCATACAGGGTCACACGGTAGTCTTTACGGTCCATCAACACAATAACGTCATACAGAGTCACACGGTAGTCATAACGGTCATCAACACAATAACATCATACAGGGTCACAAGATAGTCTGAACGGTCCATCAACACAATGACGTCATACAGGGTCACACGGTAGTCTTAACGGTCCATCAATACAAAACTCATACAGGGTCACACGGTAGTCTTAACGATCCATCAACACAATGACGTCTTACAGAGTCACACGGTAGTTTTAACGGTCCATCAACCCAATGACGTCATACAGAGTCACACGGTAGTCTTAAAGGTCCATCAACCAAAAACTCATACAGAGTCACACGGTAGTCTTAACGGTCCATCAACCTAATGACGTCATACAGAGTCACACAGTAGTCTTAACGGTCTATCAACCCAATAACGTCATACAGAGTCACACGGTAGTCATAACGGTCATCAACACAATAACATCATACAGGGTCACACGGTAGTCTGAACGGTCCATCAACACAATAACGTCATACAGGGTCACACGGTAGTCTTAACGGTCCATCAACACAATAACGTCATACAGGGTCACACGGTAGCCTTCACGCTCCATCAACACAATGACATCATACAGTGTCACACGGTAGCCTTAACGGTCCATCAACCCAAAACTCACAAAGGGTCACACGATAGTCTTATGGGTCCATCAACTCAAAACTCATACAAGGTCACATGATAGCCTTAACGGTCCATCAGCACAATTACGTCATACAGAGTCACACGATAGTCTTAACGGTCCATCAATTCAAAAACTGTCATTTAGGGTTATTCGGTAATATTGACCTTCTATTAACACAGTAACAGCATACAAGGTTCATGGTGTTCCATCACATATTTTCATAATTTCTATTGTAGCGGAAATAAACATTTTCCCTGAAACCGACACTATTTGGATCCGCGAATCTCGAGCTTTGAACCTCACGTGCATATTCACCGGATATCACATTAAAGATGTCGCGTGGCAAATCAACGGCAGTGAAATAAAAAATGAACTTGGAGCGCAGGTCACAACGCAGAGAACATGGACCTATGAGACCTCGTATCTAACAGTAACGTATTACAAGAGAGATGCCGAGTTTACCGACACCGGAAACTACTCCTGCCACGCAGGACTTCTCAGCAGAACAATAGAGGTGAAGGTCACTAAAGGTTAGTATAATTCCAGAAACTATTAATAGTGAAAAGGGACGAAATATTGCGTATCTGTAAATAAGATAAAAGAGAAAATGGTGACCGGGAAAATGGTCATGTGACTTTTTTAGTTTACTATCTTCGCTACGTTGAGAAATAAATAAATAGAGAATTAAACAGATTAACAAGTTTCTTTTCTATAAGTTACACTTTCAGTATCCATTTGTTGTTGATGTTTTTTTTGTTATTGATTTTGGTTTATGTGTTTTGTTGGCGTAATTTCAAGGAAATAGGCATGGTTTTGATATATCTTTTACCTGTTATCAAGAGGGAAAGACGATAACTATCATTCAGCACTTGTTCCTGAATTTCAGGCCGATTACGAATTCGACCAGACGTCGATAAGGTCATCATTATGGCGTCAAAACCTATCACTTTGGTTTGTGAGTTTGAGGGTAAAGACTTACTTCCAGTCACATGGCATAAAAACAACATGCCGGCATTTGGATTCATGACACGTGGTTATGTCGTAAAACCGACATCAACTGCGAAGAAAGTAGCAGTATCTTCGGAAATAAGTGAAATGTTTGCTAAAAGAGAAAATTCAGGAGTATATACTTGTATCGCCGGACCTTTCAGTAAAACCCTTACTCTTGAAGTGTCTGAAGGTAAGTAAATATATCCCACACATTTCACCGGACGGAAATATCGATACTTCCGGTTAGAGTAAGATATCTTTCTGGGGTAAGACATCCTGCACACACAGATCATAAACACGTGCTACACCGGAAGTTATTTATTTAAGACACGAGAGACGTGACTGATTGATGTTGACATTTTCAGATAAGTTTAATATTATTTAAAGACAGTATCTCAATTTTTGTTCAATTTTCACTGTTAAATTCATTATGGTAATGGTTTATCATTACGATTGTCTTTGCACAATGTCTAAGATTGTACAAAAGACACACAAGTGAATAGCACCTTTTCATAATTTAAAGTGAGATACAGTAGAGCCAAACAATGAATTAAGCTGCATCATACAGCTGTTTCGTCCTTCTAGGACTCTTCAGCGATGCTAAAGCCTGAAAGTTTGAAACCAAGGAGGCGACTAAGGAAAATCTAAAGTGATCAACAAAAGTCAAAATCTAGACGGGGAGGTGCAGCAGCCCCATAACTACATCAATATCGTAATTTTCATACCTAGGACAATTTTAGAACAACATTAAGGACATGTGTATATTATGATCCGTGCCACTATTCAAGTGAATTTAAAAGTGGCAAGCAGGTTACGGTAAACCCCTGGGATTTAAAGTCCACAAGCATTGTCTACCACCTGCTATCTTAAAGATTGGATGTTAATTACAAATCGGTTATTAAGTCGTTATTTTCCTAATTTTGTCAGCATAAATGTCTTGGTATTTAATTTATAATATGTCGGAGAAAAGGGGTAGAAAAAGGATCACTCCCTAGTTTGGTGGCAGGACAGATTAGACTAGATTCCCGACAGTCAAACCCTCGGGTTAAACAGTAATGTATCTCCTCCTATGGTCGATATTTCTCTGTCCTACTCACAAGCTGGGGAAAGATACTATTAATTTCCGTGGTTGTAAGGGGAATTTTAATTTGTCTTCCCTTGGGGCGAAATGACGGCCCTCACGTATAAAAGGGCACACCATCTCTTTATGTAATGGAATTGGAAATGAGGGGGAAAAGACAATCGATTACACCCGTGTATGTGAAAGTTATCTCAGCCAGGGGGTTATGTTTCTAAGTTCAGACCGAGGCTTTAAAATATCACCCTTTTGTTCAGATATCTGTCTTCATCACAAAGAAATGTTCTATAATCAATATTTTTTGTTTGTTTGTTACGTGTTTTTCTCCTGTCCCTTCCCTTCTTCGTAAACTCCTTCTACTTTCCTCACTTTAGAGTCCTGCCAGACGGCGCTAGTGAAATCGCTTCCTGACGCTAGCATCACTGCGTCGTCGCATTATGAAGACACGCTTTACTCAGACGCCCCATCTCGAAGTAAGCTTGATACTGTCAGGGAAGGGGACATAACTGAGGCTAAGACAGGAAGGAGGAAAATTCTTGGAGGGTCATGGCAGGCATATGTAAACGATAAACGACAATGGCTACAGGTACATCTTTTGCATATTTTCTTTGCAGTCAAGGTTTGAATACCCGATGTTTTGAAATTTTGACTTTGCGATTATAGCTTATATCATAACTTTGATATCAAAATGGCTATAATGATGTAGTCAATTCTGAGAACAACTTCTGTTTTATCTGTCATTTTTGTATAAGTTGGGTATTAGGTGGTCGACTTCAGTTTATATACAACATGTAACCTTATGAAAAAAATTTCGAGCCTTTTATATCATTTTTTGTCGTCGTTATTGAATTTTACAGCTGGAGTTCCCACAGTTAGCCATAGTGACAGAAATAGTCACTCAAGGGAGATCATCCACAGATTGTTGTACACAGCGTCAGTGGGTGACTCAGTACAAACTTCTTTTCAGCAAAGACGGTCGACATTGGCACAAGTACAGAGAGATCAAAACAGGCGACACAAAGGTAGGTTATGTTATAGACAATATCCTATACTTTAATGGAATAGCAAATTACTTTTGATCTCATTAATAAGTTTGGTCGGTCCATGTGTATTGGAAAGTTATCCCATGATCTTACTGAAAATTTCATTTTTTTCGGAATATGAGTAATTAAATACAGGCATATTCCAACCACTCACACAAAAATTCTGAATTCATTCCGTAATGTTAGTTGCTCATATTTGACAAAGAGTATAGGTCATTTGCTTTAGTTGAAGTTTATTTCAACTCCGACGACGCCATCTTGAAAATATTAACGACATAAAATATCGACACTGGCCGGATCGAACTTAATCCAATTGCATAATGTCAGCTATCTGATATTTCTTTATGTTTATGACCCAGCACTGTAAATCTTCTGATTTTAGTCACATTAAAATACGGAGATTTTAAAACAAATTGTTTCCATCAACACAGATATTTGAAGGCAACAGAGACCACGATACAAAGTGTAAACACGAACTTCCGGTTCCGGTTGTTGCACGATTCTTGCGAATCAATCCGGTAGCATGGAACGAGAAGATCTCTCTTCGGGTAGAGGTTTTCGGATGTACTGTACCCTCTAGTATGTATGAAAAAAGTGTTTTTTTTCCTATTTTTCTTCCCATTTTCTTCTCTCTTATTTCATCAATAATGAAAATAACTTTCCTCTAATTACTTATAAATATGACAACTGATTTTTTTTACAGCATTAAAAATGATTTACCCATTGAAGCCGGTTAACTACTATCGCAGAGAGGAAAGTTTTCAGATCACCTGTGCGTTTGACGGCCCTGAGCCACCCATTTTTCGGTGGCTGAAAAATGAGCGTGACCTTCACCTTGATTCGGCATTTATGAAAGTCATTGATACCTCATATAATCACGACGGGATTACAACACGAGAAACTCTGCTAAAAAGTCAGGTGAATTTCGAAGATTCTGGAATTTATACCTGTAAGGACGAAACCTCAAATCTCGAGCAAAGTGTGGAGATCCATGCAGGTAAAATAATGGTGTTTATGTCTGTAATACGTTTTCATAACTTTTGTGACGGGATATAACATCTCTTCAAATCAAATACTTTTGTGGGTGATAGTTATCTGCCTTTTTATTTTGGAGAAGATCTCAACATTCATTCTTCAAAATTACCCTCTGAACAATCAAGAAACCTGTCAGCGATTTTTTATATTACAACTACCACGTGTTTTATGGAAAATATAACGAAAACAATATATGGAATTCCTTAAGGGTCGTATGCCAAGCATCGGATAAAAATATCATTTAATTTTCTTACAGCGGAACTGGATATCAAACCGGAAGTAGATAAAATGTGGGTCACAGCAGGACAGCCTATCAATATACAGTGTATGTATCGGGGATCGGAGCGAAAACAAATTGATTGGCGGATAAATGGCCAATCCAATTTGACGGAATTTTCATCAAATGTGAAATATGAACAATTGGAAGATTCCTTCGTCGTCAGGACTAACATTTCCAAAATGGCCACCAGACACGACACTTTTGATATATCTTGCTTAGTGGCCACATTGACGAAAACGATTTCAGTTCGAGTAATAGCAGGTATCGATCTTTGTATCGAATATGTATGTGTGTGTGTGATCAATATTTTTCAAAAGAGGCACAAGGTAATAACATCCTTCAATGCAAGCTGAGATACATTAGGGTCACAAGTTAAATTTATTACACCATAAAGCTGAATATATAGTATATATAAGTAGTGAAAACCTAGGCGCCCACCGATAAAAATCAAATCTGGTCGAAAGAAAAATTGTCCTGAAACCTGATAGGTGATGTAATAGCCTCAAAGTTAAAGGAATTTCAATATTTTCAATATTGCACATTATTATAAGCATGTGTGTGAAATCTGATCTGTGTAACACGAAGTATTGTGTGTTGTACAATCGCACTTTATTTCCTATTTCGATTTCCGATTTACAGTTGTTTATCTTAAATTACAGTTACATATAAAAAAGATGAGAAAACCAATTTGATATCACAGTTATAAGTAAAGCTGCTCTAAAAATGTTCTTATTGCACAGAAAATGTCGGCAGTGTCGTTTTGAAGGAAGGGGAGACAATTGTATTGGATTGTTCAGACATCGGCTATATAGATGATGTCAAGAGTAATGCATTTTGGACCAAGGAGCACGTGCCCCTTGAAAGAGTGACATCCATGAAGGAGAGATTCAAATTTAACTCTGGAACAAGGCGTTTAACAATATATGATTCAAGTATGTCTTTATTTTCTAATAAAGGGAGGTAACCTCCATTGCTGAGAGTAGTCCCTTCATTGATGTACATGAGCTATTTTACATTTAAATATTTAACAAATTAAATATAATTACTGGTATGCATCCATGGTATGATTAAAATCATGATTTTAAAAGCGGACCGGTGTGTTGGTGAAAGGGAGGGGTTGGGCTCTTTAGCATCATACAATAACGCACTAAAAATATTTCAAGCTCGGGGCTCTAGCTCAAATCATTTTGTTTTCTAAGTAATGTTATGAGAAAGATTAGCAATCAATTGTGAATAGTGAATGAGTTTGTTTCGGTTCTAATTCCGTAAATTGTATCTTTAAAAGAACTCTCTGACGCTGGAAGGTACGAATGTAATGTCATGTTGGAAGTGGGCAGTCTTCATCCGGTACAGATGTCTATACCGGCAGACCTGGTCGGTGAGTCCTTTTAATATGTGTAACATTTAAGTGTAAGTTACTTGCCTTAAGCATATATCAATAAAAGCAGTCTACCTACTCGAAGTTCGACAAATACCAGTTGTCTCTATACACATGTACATCACTGAAACAATACCTAACCCCTGTAGATTGTTATTTTACTGTGCCGCGCATACTATGGGTGAAAGCAGAGATAGAATTTTGTTTAAAGTAAGTAAGTAATATTACTTTTTATGGTACAATTGTTTCTCTTTTGAACTGTCATTAAAAGGTACATCTTTTCTTGATCCCGCTGTCGACGAAAATTTTATTTTCGTTTTCAAACAAACAGGAAAAATAAGCACGATTTTCCCTTGCAGTCGCACCAGGTATCACAATGGAAGGTCAATCGAGTATTTTGATCGGAAGTACACTTCACATTTTCTGTCACGTGACCGGATATCCAGTTCCAAACATCACGTGGTACAGAAATGGCGAACCAATCCCAACGGAGCAAGAAAGATATGTCTATCTTCCTCATGAAGGATCCGACAAAGGTCATCTTGAAGTACATGACGTCACACAGAGGGACGCCGGCAGCTTCGAGTGTATTAGTGATGGGGGAGTGTTTCCTGCTGTCAAGAAAAGTTTAGAAGTACAAATAACAGGTAAAGTTTCGTTAAAAAGATAAAAGTAAATAGAATAATATTTTTAAAAACAATTCTTTACGTATAATGATTTGTTTCGAATAACGGTTGATCTGGTACAGAAGGAAACCACAGTTTTTTTTTTCATACAAGAACTAATATCGATTTTTCTTAAAAACGGCAACAGATTTAATTCCTTACCATCGTGCTTTTGTCTACAATCGAGATACTAGTATCCATGGCTGACAAAACCACATACTCATTTAATCTTCATTTCATTACGACAGAGACCGGCGAAGGTAGAACTGTATTAATCCTAGGAGTTCTCGGCAGTCTCATTTCTATCGTCATTGTTATCTGTTGTGTGGCTGGTTTTGTCAGAATTCGAAGACGACGAAAGCAGCGGAAAGGTATGTCATTGTCGTCACCGTTATTTTTGAGAGAAAATTCACGTGCATGTCTTTTTTTAAAGAGATATTTCTTTGAAAAAACACTAAAAAAAATAAAATAAAAAATGAATAAATAATTCCAAGATGAATTTTGTTCGCAGAACATTGTTCAGCCCGCGACACAAGGAGGCGACTAATGTGTAAAGAGATATTTCTTTAAAAAAAAACACCCACCCAAAAAAGAAAGAAGAAAAAAAACACAAACACATAAAAAAATTGTACAAATAACTCCAAGATGTGTTTTGTTCGCAGAACATTGTTCAGCCCGCGACATTAGGAGGCGACTAATGTGTACCTCGCGCAGAGTCTTAAGTACATTAAAGAGACTGAAATAGAACTGTTGCTCCCATCTCAACACTTGGTGTCTTGATCTTTTCCTTACTTTGTTACTTTGTTGCTTTATTTTCTCTTTCGATTCCCTCTTTGACATCCGTCATACCTGTAAAAACAAATAAATATGCAAACAATATCATTTTCATGATTCATACATTGTATTTATCTGATTCTGATACAACACTTTATCTTTATAATTTCCTTTCGGTCCGTTTTACCCTTCCTTTACTCTGCTCTGTCCCTCTCTCGGTGTGTCTTCTCACATCGACTACCTGTTTAAGAACTTAACCCCCTGAGAACTTGAATCTACGTTCCTTGATATAACTTATGAGTAAAAATAGTTCAAATTCACCAAGATATTCTTACTACCTGATGTATAAGCTGGGACTTTCTAGTGACTCGGCCTGTATTTTTTTATTGTTTTCTATCCTTACCTGCCCATTTAGTAGGTTTTTATTGTGATCACATCAATAGAGCTGATCTTTCTTGATATTTAGTGCCTATATTTAGACATATTAGTCCCCTACCGTGAGTGCTGTAGTTTTCCGACGTCTGTGCGTCAAAATATCTTAGCCTGGGTTGATATTCGGGGTTGTTCGGTGAAGGTCAAGGTCACTGTCAATCTTACTATTTTTAGAAGATCCTTTTCAGTGTTTAAGCGGATTCATTCATCAAGGAATTCTCGATAAATTTAAAAAAAAACTTATAAATCATTAACATATCTTGGACAAGTTCAAGGTTGTCGGGTGAAGGTCATTTGCTATTTCCAGACAATATTTGTCGGCGTTTTAGCGCCTTCATTCTATCAGCGATTCTCGTCAAACTTCGCGCGCTTGTAAGTGATCAAAATACAATGTACCTTTAACAGCTTTAAGTTTCAGAGTTATTGGGTCAAGGTCACTGTTACTATTTTAGAAAAACCTCTGTCAGCAATTTATCAGTTTCATTCCTGGTCGGATTTTCATCAAACCACACTAACAAACGACAAGTCAAGTTTTAGAGTTGTTGGATCAAAACATTTATCAGAATTCTAGCGGTTTCATTCCATACAGAATTTTGATCCAAACTCACACACTTACAAATGACATTACACTTTGGTGATGAAAGTATATAGATTGTCAAACTAATCTATCAATTTTATCATTTTTTTTTTTGCATTTGTTTCATTCAAATCTGCTACAAGCTAATTATATAATTTTCTTTCAAAAAACGCCAAACAGTACCATCTTTATGAATCATTACAGTGTAGCGGTTGGTCGGGGCCGGAAAGGGACATGTATTTCCACTAACAGAATAATGAAAGAAGTGATAATGTTTTTGATGTCTACATCAGCTGTCTCCACCAATCATAAAATCGATATTGCCTCAATCGTAGCTCTTGCTTAATGTACTATATTTTCACTCTTGGTGTCTTATGTCTCTAGACACACCTATCTATATGACATTGGCTGTTGCAATGACGATAATCGTTAAAATCATGATAATTAACTTTTTCAGAGACTCTGAAGGCATTAGAGAAAATGTCAGCGTCTCCAGATCACTTGTACGTATTAATTAATTTGTTACAAAATTTGCTCAAAGTTTGTTATTTTTCTTCACTTAACAATGGAGTCGTCTTCATATTTCAAAGCTCAGAAATACAACGGAAAAAACATTCATTGAAGTTAGAAATCGTCCATTTATCTAATATTAAAAAATGTGAGTTTTTTTTAAAAATATGTTTCAGTACCAAGCAATACGTGCAACTGCAGACCATTGACAGGAGTAAAACCATTGAAAGGGAGGACGAACAGTCCAGATTCATATCGAGGCCATTCGACTTGCAGACAACAGACGAAAGGATAAACTCGGCACGTTCTCTTCCGGAATTGCCAGAGGTCGCTTCACCTCCAGATCCGGAAGATCCTTTGTATGACGACACTGGTTCGGAAACATACGAAAAATATGAACGACCAATGCATGCTCACACGTTCCCGACACAACCGCCCCGGTCTTACCGGAAGTGACTCAAATGGATATCATTCTCGACAATCATCTTTCATCCAGAGACCGGAAACGCTGTTATCGGGGACACATGTATTTTATATTATCCATTTATTGAAAAATACTGGCGGAACGAATCTTCTAAATGGTATGCCAGACTGATATCATATCACTGTTGTTATCACATGTTCTCGCCTGTGTTTGATGTAAACTTCAATTTGTTGCCAAGAACTCGTCAGTGTGAAATAACGGATATTCACATTTATGTTTTCACGGAGCATGAAGACGAATTAAAATATTGAAGAAAGATGAGTTTAAACTTAATAAAAACTCAGTGTATGCTAATTGGTTCCTCACAGAGGCTGTCAAATCTTAGACCATTATGTATTAAAGTAGACAATGTTGTCATTGGAACTGTCCTATGTGCTAAACTGCTTGGAGTTTATATCGATAATTATTTATCATGGAATGACCATATTGATTATGTATGTAAGAAACTGTCAAAAAAGATTGGTGTTCTAAAACGTTTTAGAAAATGTATGTCAAATGTCCAACAAAGTGTATACAACTATTGTCCTACCACACTTTATGTATTGTTCTTCTGTTTGGAGTACCCCTTCAAATACATCACTTACAGAGAAGCTTTTTAAGCTCCAACAAAGAGCAGCAAGAATTAGTTTAAACATAAAAGAAATCATTACTCCAACCTCGCTGCTTTTAAAGAATTTGAACTGGATGTCTATACTTGATTTTTACATTTTTAGAAAATGTGTTCTTACCTATAAAATCCTCAATGATGAGGCTCCTGGATATTTGAAGCAAAATTTATTTACCTATGTCAGTCAAATTTCAAGCAGGACAACCCGTTCTCTTTTTACAAACGGTCTTTGAAATATTCATGCACGTCCCTATGGAATAATCTTAGTGACGAGATCAGGAATGTAACAAATGTTCTGTCTTTTAAAAAACTGTACATGAAAAACTATTTTAATCCAACTTCATGAAATATATTCGTCAATTCTAGACTCATCTGTGATGGTACTGTATTAAAGTTGTAATGTGTATTTAATTATTTTATAAATCATATCTATTTTGCACAGAAAACTTTTGATATTTAATTTGATATTTAGTTTTAATGCAACCGAATGATGAACTGTTCTTATCCATACTTACTGAGGTATCTTATTTAATACATTATGTATATCATGTATTTGTCATGTCAACATGTTAATGTTTTGTATTCGTCTGTAATGTGCTGATGTAAATGTGTTTTACAGGGCCATATTGTAAACTAGACGCAAGTCTAGATATGCTACCCTGTTTAAATAAAAGAATTTATTACCATTATTATCATTATCATTATGCAAATATTGATATATATATTAGGCTTAAGAAATTCGCTGCAAAATTACTGTAAAAAAGCAGCTTGAGAAATAAATATTTGATATGTACATGTTACAGTGTCTTTGGTTTTCTTTCAACATTTGAAAGTAAAAAAGACAAAAGAACTTGATTTAAACCATTTTATTATAAATATTACAAATTTTTCATTAACATTTCTGACATTTGCTCAGTTACCATGAAAACCAATTCGTCAATACAAAATACTATTTACAAGCCGGGTTTTACGTGCTAAAATACATTAATTGGATCTCTATTGAACTTTGTACACTCTAAACTCGTGAAACATCAATAATGAATAGAAATTCTACATCAAAATATAATTGTACTACAGGTGCATGGATCATGGATGATCATACATGAGGGTTGGCTTCTGTGCATAAATTAAGGCCGTCAGCAGTAACGTTCAAATAATAAAAAAAAATCTCTTACTCGGCAAAAATGGGGTAATGGATTTCAACTCTTACTTTAAAAGCCATTTTAATCACGAAAATTAAAAAGCAAGTGTCCGCTGAATTGAAAAATTATCGATGTATTTTAATCAAACTTATTTTATCACTTAAATTGTGCTATGAAAGTGATATATAAAAATACTTGGAGTACGTAAGGGGCCGCAAATCTTACAGGACTACGGGCTCAGTGCGAACATAGACAAATGAAGGCCACACGAGCACAGGTGAGACGTAATTACAACAGGTGTAATGAACAATCTATATACCACTGTCCCTGAAGGTATGCTGATTAAGTGAAAACACACAGGTGTATCTGATGGCGGGTCGAGATGTCAATTACAAGCTCTGGTATTTCCTTTGTCTTATCACGGACTTTGATTTTGCATTCCGTGTTAGATCTACGGGAAGCTTCTATAGGTCAAACATACAAGTGGCAACGAAGGGCGGGGTGTTGGTTAGCTGAGTTTCATAGTGACATCAAATATTTAGATTAAAAAATACGAAAACTACAGAATAAACACGAATAGATAGGTGTTTGAACAACAAAATGAAATAAAATAATAATTGACTCATCTGGGTCATCACAGAGTCACTGGTACGTGTCTGATTTTTTTCACCGTTAGTTGTTTTCAGGGACGGACAATACGTCCTTTGTTGTTCAATATGCCATACTCTAAAGGTACACAGCAATGTTTGGAAATTTTGTGATTTAATGCCTTTGATTTGTGGATCTACTGTATAAGTTTCAGTATATATGTATGTTTCTGGATTTTATTTATTTCTTTTCATGAATCTAATTTATTTTATTTTTTAAATCCCCTGAATATCAACAACTCTATCTCCATTTTTTAAGTTTAAGATTCATCCTTATATCATCTTGTAATTATTTCATTGAGCTGTTTTCTGTAATAGCTATCGTTGTTAACTTTATTTAAGCAAATGTTTAACAATGTGTATTTAATATAAAATGTAATATCTGTCATTTTAAAGATGTAATTTGAATTTTCAATCAACATTTTATGGTAAATAATGCACTTTTTATTGATAATAAATACGCTATCTGGTACAATTGGGAGTCATTGTCTTTTCTTTTTGTTTATTGCTCTCGGTCAAATTTACTGCTATATTTACCAGCCCTTCGTTCATATATATATATACATTCCCAATGTACAAGTAAACACACTCGAGAGAACATACAACATACACAGCCCCAGGCCTATCGTCACAAGTAAGTGGGTGTGACTGTCTATTTATTTATCACGATGAGGAATCTCGAACGGAAATTTTGATTATTGTCCAAAATATACATGAAAGATAATATTTTTGCATCTATAACATCATTCGCATATTTATTTAGCACGTTAATTGTTTAAGTAATAAATAATCTTGCAAATTATCCATTATAAAGTACTGTAAGCTTTACGTGTTGCCTTGGTAGAATTATTTGCGTTTCGTTTCTATTTAGATTTATTTCTTCCGATAAATATACACAGCCACCAACACCGGAAGTTGTCAAACGAGTGCCTCCATACAAAAAAAGAAAGAAACTTATCAGGAACCAAGAGTTACTAACTAACCAAAACAGAGAGGATTTACAACATACAAGATGCCTAATTGTATAGTAATAACTGCTATAGTTTGTGTGTTGATCACAACAGTTGCTACAATTGTGTCATTTTCACTCCCGAACTGGTTACATTTCCGAAATCTCGGAGACGCTCTGTGTGGATGCTCGTCAAAGGATTGCCATTGTGGTCTGTGGATAAACTGCAGGGGAGGATTTGATGCCAGTTCGTCGTTAGCTAATTGTGAATGGTTCTTCTCCGACGATTTCCACATCGAAAAAAGTCTTCCAGGTATTGTATAACGACAGAAATAATTGAACTGTTCTTTTAAGCAGTTTATGAATCTGACAGAAATTCCAATACACAGACTTGTGTATTCTGTGTTCAAGTATTATACGACATCACACGAACGTTTTCTTGCCTTAAGGTAGTCATCATCTAATTGTATAGTGAATTCCGTTGTAAGAATGCAATATATTTTATCATTTGTGAAGCCTTCAAGTCATTTGAACTTTCGTTTCATTGTCGATACAGGCAATATTGAAACTTGTGAAATGTATATGTACCTGGTATATATGCATATGCCTATTTAGCTAGCCAAAAATCTTGGAAACTATAGCTAGCTATTACCTGGTAGAGGTTGGAATACTATTCTATGCTTAATTTACATAAAATCTAAATTTTTCAAAATGATATTTTAAAACAATTATTTATACATAGGTCTTTATATCTAAATTTTGATATAAAAATTATATCTAAATTTGACAATTTGCTTGTCCATTTTGTTGCTATTACTTCATTGATCATAGGTCTTAATATCTATATATATATTTAGATTGATCAGTATAGTAAAATTATATGAATGTTAAAAAAACATGTCCAATTTACATGTCCGGAACCAGCATTAATGTACAAGGTATAATTTGAATAACTTTCTTATATTTTTGGTTTTTAAGTTTTCCACGAAAAACAACATAATTGAAAAGAAAATAAGTAAAACCCTTTTAAACATAATTTTGATGTTTCATACAGCACACACTCAGACGTAAATACAATTAGCAAAGTGTCTGACATTGGCAAAATGTAATCTTCCTGGTTTCTCAGCCAGGTGTGTTTAGTTGAGAACTGTATTTGGAGGTAGCAGCCTTTGGTATTGTCTTGGATATGTCTGAATTCGGTCAGCTGTAAGAAATTTCCATTTCTAGAAAGGAACATTCCTGCATCCCCAACATGTCACAGTTGATTCAGTATTCAGGGGCCCATTTCCAGCTCATGAATTTCTTGCAAGGTGTAAAAACTGACCGACAAACTTATCACAGGGTTTCAAAACATGCAGATTGATAAAAAAAATTATGGGGAAGTTTTATGTTTGTCATAGTTATCTCATTGAAAATCATTCAATTTCTTTGTGCAACATGAAGCTGCTTGAAGCTTGCTAGTTTGCCTACTGATGATGTTGTTGTATACCTTGTTTTCACTTGACAAAGAATTACACAGCAGCTTTTTCTTCCAGAGCACCTGGTCTTATTCCCCTTTTACTTTTTGGATTAAGATCATGTTCTCGTTTGGTATTTTCTTGTTGTTTTGGTAACCGCTGCCTTGAAGTTAGGGTTGTTCCCTGTGGTAAATTGATATGAACTGACATGTACATGTACATCATTTTGATATGACAGAATGATAAAGTTTAAAACAACCAACTAAAAACCCCTGCACAAAACTCCAGGTAACTGGTGTTTTCAGTGTTTTTGTGCTTAAATTTTTGTTCAAACACTACAAATATTTCAGTGCATACAGAAACTGCTGGTTAAACTAAATGAAACAAGGTGGTTTTTATCCACAACACCCTGAGAGTTACCTGAAGTCCAGTCTGTGCCTACATAACGATATAAGATTGATCCATACTGTTCTGATACAAATGCTGATGGTATATCATCACAGCATGCAGTAGACGTTACACATTGAATGTATGTTTTTGAGTTCAATATGAGTTTGACTATTAGGCTTAAACAGACATGAGTTGACTTGTCAGGTTTGTTTTATTACCTCTGAAACTGCCAAATTTATCAAATGTTAGCTGAATGGTAAATTATCATGACCATTCATAGATCTAGATGGAATCTAACTTGTGCATAATATGTTATGGAGAACAAAAACAGAATCTGCAAATAGACTACTACCAGGGTGTGATTACTGAAGTGGATTTTCATGTTGTTAATTGAGTGTACATACAGAAACACTTTATAACTTCAAGAATTTTGACTGATGACAGAAGTATGGTAGGTAGAGAAATTGTAAATTTGATGAATTTTCACATTTATTAACCAGATTTATGCAACTCATATAATTATCAAAGTGCATTTTCATGTAACTATTTGACATATTGTAATCAAGATTTCAAACGATCCTACATGTTACATACCATGATTTTCTGTTACTGATTTAGAAATTATATATGCACCATGTGTAACGTCTGACATGATACAGATGTAGCCCAATGCATACATTTTTCAACCAAAATTAAAGGAAATTAAAAAGCTTCCCTTTGGCACTATGTAGATACACATTGTCTATATACTGTACTTTGGTATATAGCAAATAAGGTTTGTAATTTGACAATGATAAAATGTACATGGACTTAAGATTGATATTAAGCTTTGATACATGTGTATCTTTTAATGTGTGTAGGGCAGATTTTAATATTGCTTGAAATTTTGTTTTAAATGCAAGGATGAAAGGTGCTGGCAGAATATATCTTTCCCTGTATGTGTTAGTAGGTAGACATACATGTGCATAGCAATGCATGGTTGCTGATTAAAGACCCAAACTGTACAACTCCAGTATTGAATACCTACATGCAAAGGGACTTGGCACAAATTCCCATCTATGGTTCATTGGATATATTAAAGTGACAAGGGTTGTAATTCTCGAGAAGAGAAAACTTAACTTACTATTTCGATTATATATTTTTTGATATTCTAAAGGTTGTAGATCTTATTAACATACATTACCTTTAAGGAATTATTTTACATATAGGTCTGGTTTTGTTCTCAATCATTCTTTATCAAAGGTCACTCTGTCAGTGATAATCTTTCTTGCTATCTTCTATAAAGATATTGTACATTTATTTTGAATGAAATTGTCTCAATTTCAATTGGATCAGATTAGTAAATCACAAAATGTATTTCATAGTCATTGTCCAGGGGTAAGTTATGAGAAAAATCATCATGGATGCATTGATAGAAACTATAATTATAAACAATATAGTTTTCTCATAAAACATCATATACTTATTGATGCCAAGATGTCCTTTCCTTATTGTAGCTCTGTATAACAGTTGTTACTGTAAAGACTTTAAAATGCTGTTATTTGAACAGGTGCTTCTAATACGTTATTGAATGTTCAGAAAATCAAACGCTGCTTTAAATTTTATCAGTGTAGCTATCAGCTCATTGAGAAACATCTTTCATCTCCCTGTTAATAATATATGACATTAGGATGAGAGATACCCTTTGGCTGTATGGCTTACTTAGTCACCTCAGCTGTTTACCTTAATAATTAGCTTTCAGACTGCTTAATATTCTGTAGAGTAAGATCACTCCAATTTAAAATGTTTTGTGGTATGTGCGGGAGTTGGTACTTCAAACATTATTTTGATTTAATCCCATTTCGGCCTTGTTCAAAAACTGTCCAGTATTAAACAGAGAACTGTTAAAGTCTTGGTTGACTGGTATATCCTTTACATGTATTCAGACACACACCCACAAAAATAACAAAACGTAGAAAAAATCCCAATGTGTAATACTGTATTTTCTGGATTATAAACTGCTCCGGTATATAAGCTGCAGAGCCAATTTTAATGATTTTTTTTTTTGTTATTTTATCAAAATTTAAGTTGCACTGGAACATATTAAGTTGCACCCTTTCTTATGAAGTGATAACTGTTATGCTTACCAAAGTTTGTTGATGTAATAAACAACAGAAGGCATTTTATCAAGATCGTCAGTGAAACATTTAATATAATTTAATATATATATGCAAATGAATTATACACATAATCCTTTACTTTATCGATGTGTTTCAAAAACGTAAAATAGATTTTAATGAATTTGTTTGGCTTAGAAGCCTCCAAAGATTGTCTACGCACAGATATAGGGTCAAAGGTTATGTATGGTTTATTTAACAATATCTCCATCAGTGTCTGTATTGTGAAATATTAACAAAGGCCCTTGCATGCTGACAAAATTCCTATAGTCACATACTATTTCTGGTAAGTTACACAAAACCATTCTTATTGTAAACAAGCATGGCGGTTGTTCTAGAATCTGATGACCTATCAATCTCTGGATGCAACAGGCTATTGTAAACTTCTGCCATAGCTTCCAAAACAAAGTTCAGAAGATATTATTGTGATTCACATAAATCCATGGTACCATCTTGTACTGGTATGTTTGACTTAAATTTCTTTTTTCATTCAGCCGATATTTTTTCATCCAAATATATATTGCACTGTTATATAAGTTGCATGTCCGAACTCCAAGGAAAAATACAGCAGCTTAAAATCCAGACAATACAGAATTTTTAACCTTTATGTGTAAATGTTACCAGGTATTAGTTACAATGTACTTATGTTTAATTTTTGGATAGAGGTTGAAGTGTAGGAATTAGTAAAAACTAATTAAAAAGTACAAAAATAGAATTTGCCAATTTTCTGAATAAATCCTAATTTTTACTGTAGTTTATAAATTCAGTTATAAACTGGAAAATTTTTTAATTAATTTACCACTTTCTAAATAGTTTCTCTCCAGTTTTCCCAAATAAAATGTTTACATATGTTCTCCTGTGAATTTCAACATTACCTTGTTGATTAAGGTCACTAAGGCTGTACATTAGCGGAACAGATATATAAGAAAGATACATAGGTGTACAGTTTCTATGTCACAGTGTCTTCCCCGAGGTGAGTCTTTATACGAGGACAGTCCGACATGTTGTACCAAGGAAGGAAGATCTTGTGTCAGCAGGTCGTTTACAAGTCCCACACTTATGGTGTCTCCTGTAATGGATGCTTTCACTAATGTGTGCCAAAAATCTGACCTGTAGATCATGGTGTGTTATGGTGTCTATAATTGTAACTATTTTTGTACAGCTGTGTAGGACATCACATTTGTAATTTACATCATTGATGTTTTAGGCAAGTGTACAAATATATGTCTAGGGCTAAAGTACTTGTCATACACTTAAATTTTTTCAAAATAACAATAAATTGCAAGGTATACATACCTTTTTGAGACAAA